CCCCACCACCACGTGCCCCACTCCCCACCGCACCCGCCAGGAGCTGCGTGAGGCGCTGTCTCAGTTTGTCGCACTCCAGCTCGCGCTTGCGCAGGTCATGGCTGGTCTGCAAGTGGCGCTCCTTCAGGAGAGCGTTCAGGTGGCGGGTCTCCTCCTTAAGCAGCCTGCAGGAGTCCTGCAGCTCAGCCACCTCCTGCAGCGCCACCTGCTTCTGGTCGCGGGACTCCTGCAGCTTGCGCTCGTATTCCTCTCGCAGCTCCTGCAGCCCTGATACGCTCGCCTGCCCACGATAAGGATAAGATAACAATGAGGTCATGAATACTGGGATAACAACGAGGTCATGAATACTGGGATAACAACGAGGTCATGAACACTGGGATAACAACGAGGTCATGAGCGCAGGTATAACAAGGCGCTAATGAGGACTGGAAAAACATGGGATGTAATAACAGAGGTAACCTGGAGGTGATAAGGATAGGGATAACCTGGGAGGTGATAAGGAAAGGGATAACCTGGGAGGTGATAAGGAAAGGGATAACCTAGGAGGTGATATGAATAGAGATAACCTAGGAGGTGATATGAATAGAGATAACCTGGGAGGTGATATGAATAGAGATAACCTTCCTGGGAAGTGATATGAATAGAGATAACCTGGGAGGTGATATGAATAGAGATAACCTGGGAGGTGATATGAATAGAGATAACCTGGGAGGTGATAAGGATAGGGAAAACACGGGAGGTGATAAGGACCTGCACTACAGGTCACCTGCAGTTTGGTGTTGGCGTTGGAGTCACGCTTGTGCTGCTCCTGCAGAGCACAGCTGTCACGCAAACTTGCCCTGTATAGCTGCACCACCTCCCAACATCTACAACAACAATAACAACAGCAAAAATAAACCAGCAATCAATCAATTATTATTAGTAACAATCCATCAAGAAAGAATCATTAATGATCTATCAGAAACCATTAATCCAGTTCTAACAGAAACATTTCATCACTGCCATCTTCAAAAATACTGCTACGTATAAAAATATAATAAAAAGATTGTCAGCAAACATTCCTTGGATATATTTACCCTACAATAACCAAGCAAATTCTTGACAAGAACTTACCTGTTGACAAGGCACACAAGGTCGAGTTGCAGGAGATTGCCTCGATGGCTGCCTCCAGTGAAGGCAGTAGCAAGGGCATCATAAGTCTTATCTCCAGCACTGCTGCTGTAGTTGTTGTTCACTGCTGTAGTAAGGTTCAAATTTCCTATGCCAAGAGCTTGCAGTTCCTAGGGTTGAAAAAATGAAATTATGACTACTCACATAAATGAGGACATTTAGAAAAAATAAATACTTATTCAAACAAGCAAAAATTAAAAGATACCATTTACTAGTTTGTATTTTGTTTTATTTGAGTTTGTGCATACATTTAAAAAAATGTCCTGCATTTGAAAATTTCAATTTGAAAAATAAGATTGTCAAAGCAAGATGTAGGTAGTAATTCAACAGTGCCATTGAGTTTATAACTGCTCCACCATTGCTTAATAAGATACATAACATAGATGGGATTATGTTGCTGTCAAGTTCATCAACTTAATAAACCAATTATAATAACAATCAAAAACTTACTTGTGATAAATAGACAACTGCACTTTCAAAGTTCTCCAATGAACAAAAATAAAGTTGTCCATCAGCACGTTTTTCAGCAGTAGATGAGCTGCTAGAAAGCTTGTTGCCATCAGACACACTTTTTAATCTGGCACTTCTATAGTCACTCAGCAGTTTTCCAATTTGTATAGGCAATTTGTAAGTGCAGGTAACATCCATTGCACACTAATCTGGCTGGACTTCACTGCTGCCACTGACTGGCAAATCTGGAATGAGAAGATGACGTGTGAATATTTTGGGCAAATCAGCATTCATGGAAAACAAAAGAAAATCTTGGACCACATCATGCATAAGTAGGTGGAAGACACCTGGTAATTAACATCTTGTTGACAATTGAATAATATTTGTCTTTTGTTAGTGTTGATTAGCTTACGCAAGCTCTCATTATTATCATAGGAACCATCAGCATCATGTTTTATCATGATTTCTACATGAATAAACAATATTTCTTATTTCTATCACAGCCTCAATGGTTTGATGACAAGCAGAGCATCATGGCCACACATCATGCCCATAAATTGCATGTAATGATCAGGATTAAAGACAATGCATGTGTTTCAGTAGCACTGAACTGTGGTGAGGAAAACCTCAGAGAAAGAGATTATACTAATCCCAATGCTTGGTCAACACATCAAATAATTCTAAATTGAAAAATTGGACAGAAGCTCCTTGCAAATGAGACTAAAATGCCCAAGCTTGCAGTCAATTTTACCCATTTGAGTGCCATTTCCCATGTAGAAAATTGGGCAGAGGTCATCCATGAACTGGACAAAAAAAGCTCATGAATCAGGCAAATTTAACCTGTTCCAATAGCCTTTTGAAATTTCTTCAGAGATAAATAAGAAAAATTACCTATCTTTACCTGCCATTTCCTAAAATCACATATGAAACAATAGTTTTTACCAACAATTCTAGGAAACTCTTGCCCAATATTCCAAATTAGACCCATTCAAATGGCCCTTGGACTAATTTCTCTGGTATAAATATGAAAAAATTATGCATTCAGGCAATTTTTAAAATGTTATCTTCAAAAATCACCTGTGGACTATGGTCAGAAAGATGGGCCAGGTGCATGGGAATTTATATTGTCATTTTATCAATCTGTGTGGTGTGCAGTACTATGCCAGTAAAAAAATGTGCCATGCTCCTAAAATGGTTTAAATATGGATTTAAACCATTATGAAAGTTTTACTATATTGATATGAAATTGTCATATCCATACCTACATTACCATATTATTGATGTGACATTACTGTATCCATGGACATGCCATTGAGCATTAACAACAACCTTGTTCACTGCAAGCTACATTTCAGCAGCCATATAGCATTTCTTCTGTATCTGTAGGCTTACAGGATGGCTTGTAATTTCACACCATTTTAAATGGGTCAAGTGAATTCACTATAACAAAGAAAGATTGTAAAAAAACATACCTGAAACAGAAAGGAATATTTTAGTGACAACTATCATATCTTTTGGAGAAATAAATCATAGTTTAGGTCAACTACTTTTCATTCAAAGTTGCCCGGTGTATAATTCTATCTACAACATTCTATGCACAATTTTGTAATGACCAATGATACATAAATCAATTTTTTGGTAAGTGAAATTTTTTCACTGGGCAAGGTAAATGTAATCAAAATTTTTGGCTGTTAATTGATATTTTTCTCAAATTTGCTAACCAAGGTTCTACTGTAAATGCATTTTTAATGGTGTTTCTTATTACCCATCTTGCAGAAATGGCCGGCATTTTTTTGGAATGCGATAGTCAAATTCCGTCAATCACATTTTTAAGCCAACACCTGGTTGCAAATTTTATGCAAGTAAAATTTTTTTATACGGCAAATATTTTTTTTTTGCTACAGACCTTAGCAGAAGTACTTTTCCAAAATCTCACTTTTTTCAGGGATTTTTTAGAGGTAGTAAATGTATGATTGCTATATGCTACATAAATAGTAAAAATGTTCAACTTTACACCACTATTTTTAGTTTTGCAATATTTAGATTAGTTTATCTGCTACAAAATTTCTACAAAATGCGGAATGACTGTCCCAATTAACCCTGCCCATCTCTTATTACCCAGTTTGATGGTATTATTTTTTATCTACCTCTACCACTTTTTTGAACCAAAAATTTTAGTTAAGATAAAAAGGATAAAAATAGGAGTGATTAAAGTTACAATTGAAAGAATCAAGAATGAAGGTTTCAATACTTTAAGACTTCAATTTGGCTAAATATTAATTCATTAGCAATTTGTCTCAAGTCAAACACAACAAATTAACATTTATGAATTAATAACAAATCACGCCACCAATAAAAGTTGAACATGGAGCACAGCAAAGCTACTTGGCACTGCAGCAGCAAAATCTCATACGTGTGCACTCAGTGAAAGCCAACAAGCAAGCGCCTTTTTTCAAATTATGGTTAACAATGTCAATGCCGGAAGTAGGGTAAACGCGGTATATTCCGACATTGTAGGTAATTCCGTCACCTCTCCAGTTTTTCCTTTATATTAAGCTTTGTTTTAGTTCCATGCATTTGTTGATGGTTGAAATGGTGACGTCATGCATTTGCGAGTCAAAATACTGCCAAAACACTAGGTCTTGGCCATCTAGTGGGAAAATATTGAGATCCAAAGAGAGACAATGCATGCCACGTGGTTAGATCATCGAAAAATGTGTCAAATTTGATAGTTGACATGGCTCTACCAAATAGTGAATAACTGTTTTTATAGGAAGAATATTATGGTTTGAGACTTTTAATCTGACGCAATACGACTCACCACGTGTCGAATATTGCCACACAAAGTGACGGAATATAGGGATTTGGTAGGTTTCCATTCTAAAGGCTTTTTAATAAATATGGCAACATTTTGTGACGTTTCATCGTTGCTGACGCGTAGTGAAGTGTTTTGAGAGTCATGTGAAGGCAACAGAATTTACGTAACGCATACAATTTTTTTTAATAGTTTTTTATTTCTCGATGCGTCCTTAATGTGTCGGAATATACCGCGTTTACCCTACTATGTTGCAACTGTAATATTACGGTAGTATGCAATTACTGTAGTACTATGGTTACAGTATTTGCTGTATGTACCTATTGCAGTACCGTAAAATGGGGTAACTTAGACCACTTTCTTTTTTATAAATGATGCCATTTTTTTACTAGCTAAATTAAACTTGAATTGAAACATGCAAAATACAGGTCTATACTCTAGCTTCACTCACCATAAATTGCTGGCTCCTGCCTCTCATAGTCTTTATGTAATCTCAAAAAAGTGATGGTCTTTGTTACCCCAGCTCCTGGGGTAACTTAGACTGGGTGGTAAAATAAATTATATTTTTTGGTAAAATAACTCCAAATAACTCCAGGTTTTGGTGCATTGTAGTAGAACTCTTCAAGTTACATATGCAAATGACAAACTTGAGGAAAGTGTCATAGTTTGCAAATGGGGGGCGCCGCCCCATAATGAGGGAAATGTGACTACCTAATGGCAGCCCTGATGGGGTAATATTGACTGCCTTGGAAATTAAGTTAAAATTACCATATATATGACTCTTATAGTCTGAAACATAAAGAAAAAACATAAAAAGGCTATCAAACATAAAATATGTTATATATGGTAATTTTACATTAACTTCCAAGCCGGTCTATGTTACCCCGTCAGGGCTGACATTAGGTGGTCTAAGTTACCCCATTTGGGGATGGCGCCCCCCATTTGCAAACTATGACACTTTCCTAAAATTTGTCATTTGCATATGTAACAAGGACTACTACACACAGGACATGCATAGCCTATGTCCAGCCTCTGCTAGCAGAGGCGATCGCCTACACTATGAAAATGCTGGTGTTTTAGTGGCATCAACAAATGATATGCCCATAATTGTTTCATACAATAGTATTACAATGTGTGTAGTAGTCCTTGGTCAGAACCATAGACTTTTTGCCAGTTTTGAAGTTCAAAATTTTGTACTAAGCAAAGTAGGTATCATTTTCCTGCCTTCATACACTGATAAAAAAAATATTTAAATGGAGTCAGTATACATTTACTCATAACATTCCGGCAAAAATTCTATTGCTCTGATAAATATAATGCCTTTGGATTCAACTCTTAAACACTCTTTAAATACATTTAAAATTTTCTATTATTAAATCTTTGCAAACGGGTAAAAAATATACTTAAATTCTAGGTTCTGAAAACTTTTACAAAAAGAAAGGATAATTCTAAAAGAAATGAGCTAATGGAAATTTTTGGAGGAGTAAACAGCTCAGGAANTACTCTGACAGGCTTTAAATAATAGCTTTTTTTCGTGGGTCACATTTTTAATTTTTTTACCTATTAGATATGCAAACTTTTCAAATCTTTCTATTGTGTTATGTAGCCTCAGTATTAGGCCTTTAATGCCCATTGACAAAATTTTTCTATGTCAAATAGTTTTTGAGTTGTGGGGGTTCTTGTTGAAAAAACGAAAAGTGGTCTAAGTTACCCCGCCGGTCTAAGTTACCCCATTTTAAGGTAGTTTCATGAAATTTTGAAATAGAAGCAAAATTTCCATTCTTATGTATAAATGATATTATTAAAATACCTATCAAATCCATTCCTTGTTCTTCAATTAGGGATGTTGAGTGACAATTTTACCTTCCTTCCTAGGATGCTCATTTTTACTGGCTACAGCCCAGCAGTAGAATTAAATTAAATCTAAAAAAATACATTCAAATTAATTAAAAAAATGAATTTATTTATTTAATACACCAAATTATACATGCTGCAGAATTAAATTATATTAAAAAAATTTTAATTAAGAATTTTATTCAAAATTTTAAAATTAAAATCAATTTTTATTTAGGAATTAAATTTAATTATTTAATAGAATTAATACACCTCATGGTTAATGCCTAAGCGCTCAATGATTTATGTAATACATAAAAATACAATAATTGCCCTTTCTAAATAACAATCATTTTGTGTGGTACGGTTATCAAAAACTTTGTTGGTATTACCATTAGGTATTAAAATTGCATGTTTTTTTGTTTAAGTTGATATAATTTTCATAATTTTAGAACATATTCATTGCAAAAATTGTCAGTTACAGATAAAAAAACCCATGAAATGAATGTAATCAAGGGAGGCATTGTTAACACAGTATTGGACTTCAAACCACAGGTTGCACAGGAGATATCAAAAGCATGGCAGTTTCTGATAAGCTCAGAGAGTCAGACTGCTCAGTGTATCAATTGTTACTGCAGTGGAAGCCTGGCCCTGGAATGTGTAGTACCGTAAAATGGGGTAACTTAGACCGGCGGGGTAACTTAGACCACTTTTCGTTTTTTCTACAAAAACCCCCACAACTCAAAAACTATTTGAAATAGAAAACATTTGTCAATGGGCATTAAAGGCCTAATACTGAGGCTACATAACACAATAGAAAGATTTACAAAATTTGCATATCTAATAGGTTAAAAAATTAAAAATGTGACCCATGAAAAAAAGCTATTATTTAAAGTCTGTCAGAGTACCCCCTCCAATTTTTTTTAGTTTTTGGTTAAATAACTCCAGGTTTTGATGCATTGTAGTAGAACTATTCTAGTTACATATGCAAATGACAAATTTTAGGAAAGTGTCATAGTTTGCAAATGGGGGGCGCCGCCCCCAAATGGGGTAACTTAGACCACCTAATGTCAGCCCTGATGGCATTTTTAGCGCGATTTTTGGGTCGGAAAAAAATCGGTTTTCCGATGCCGACCGCCAAAAATGGATTTCAGATTCGTAATCTACACCCCAAAAAACATAATTAAAAAAAAAAACACCCTTTTTTTTGGATGTAGTTAATCTGCAATAATACCGCTATTTAGTATTAAATTATGCAATGATTAGGTCATAGGCCTAACCTATTTTTTATTTCAAATAATTTCATTATGTAAAGTCATAGATCAATGTCTTTTAAGAACGTACGGTACAATGAAATAATGCATTATGTAGAGCAACTTAGTTGAACTTACTAAGTCTAGGACTACCGGTACGGCGGTACCTGACTAGGTCTATCCGCCGTCACTCGTCAGTCGTCACTGTCCATTCGGATTTCAATACGATCATACGATAACGATGCACCGACCGCAACTCCAGCCGGACATCCTAAAATGTGAACACGAAATGATCCGCCAAACTAAGTTCTCTCACATCAATCCGCTACTACGGAAAACAAAAACCCCCTAGAGTTGAGAACTGCACTAGCAATTGTTGGCTTTCTATCAATTGTCTACATTTTGCTGCATTTTAATTTTAGCCTTAATTTAGAGCGTTAAGGTGCCTGTACACAGGGATAGTACTAGCCGCTAGTTCATCCGGCGCTTGAACTGTCCACGCTACTAGCCTCGTGTATAGGGGTTCAGCCGCTTCAGAGGCATGCGCCGGCAAGTGCCCGAGGCGCGGCCGAGAGAGACAACGATGTGTTGATATCTTGGCTGGAGAAGTGGCTAGTAGCGCTGATGCAGCCATGGTGACAGAACAGGCTGGAACTCGTGGAACATAGCACGGCAGGCTGCTGCAAACCGGACCCAGTGGAGGAGTTACGTCCAAGCCTTATGCACCTTATGGCGCGGAGAGAACTGAACTGAACACACCTACAGAGAAGAGTAACACCATCGCTTTCATTGTGAACGAAATACTATCATATATTCGCCTGCAATTATCCGTCTCACGGTTAGCGTATATGCGACATATATATACAGGAAAAGAACACCGCGCTTTACTGACCCGAAATCGTGGCTTGTGAGCGTCACCATTTTCATGTACACAAGTGAGGCTGAGTCTTGCTGAAAACTCCATGCTGAGCCGTTGAAGTGTTTACGGGCCCAAGGTAACAACACAGCTTCCAAAATGTATCGCTGACTGTTCAATTTCACTCCCAAGAGGACAAAAACGAGTGGGGACCTCCCAGTGGCGGTTGCCGCGGCCCAAACCATCACGGACATGGGATTTTGACGTCGTGTTGCTATTCTGGTTGCCATAGATCCATCCCGACTCCAAACTCTGTCATTTTGACGGTTAACGCTTTGTTCAATGTCAAATTTTTTCTCATCATTGAACACCAAGTTTGGCAGTGTGCCATCCTCAATGAGATCCAGAATGTGCTGGCATCTTTCGAGCCTCATTCGTTCATGACGGTCTGTTAGTTCATGCCTTGTTTGCATCTTGTAAGGGGAGGTTTTGAGGTCATCTTTGAGGACTCTACGCATTGATGTCTGACTGACTCCTGCTTCTGCAGCCAATTTTGCAGCTGGGCGACGAGGGTTTCTCCTCAACTTCTCCCTCGTGTTTTTGAACAATTGTTTTGTTCGGACACTTCGGTTCCTTCCTTGACCAGGTTGATTGCATGTTTCACCAGTTTCCTTGAATTTTTTTACCACCTTCCCCACAGTTTCACGACGAATTTTGAGTTTTTTGCAATGACTGAATTACTCTCTCCCTTTTCATAAAGGGTTACAATAGCATTTCTATCTACTGCCATAAGTAATAGTAAATTTAGACACCTTAGACTTCTGTAATATAAAATAGATGAATTAACGGATGATATTAAGCTTCATTATAAAAGAAAATTCTCCTAGAAACCAATTTATTTTTATATAGCAAACACCCGTTGCCATAAATATGGCGGACCCTGTATGTTACCAATTGTCAAGCAAAATGAAGGCTTTTCAATTAATGAAAATATGATTTTCAAATGACGAAACAACTAGCGATTGTTCGTACGGGAAATCTGATAGAAAAAAAACTAAATTACAACGAATAACTTTCGTCGTGAGAAGTCCGCTACGGTAATCAGTAAATTAATTGCTCGAGACTATTCCAATATAAAGAAAGCCTTTGTAAAACATTCTTGTGCATTCCAAGAATCGACGACAGGCCCACATAATCTTATCTTCTACGCAGACCACTAGTCCTGTTATACTATATTCATATTATCATCAGTGCACGTCAACATCCACTTCCGACACTATGAGGAGCCCATAAAGTCTTAAAAACTATAACGAGTGAGGCTCGTTGTTGTTGTTGTTATTTGTGACCATCACGCTCGCCGGGTGGGAGGCTATGGTGGCGGGCGGGGGGCCGGAACCGGAAGAGGGGGAAGGTGGGCGAAGGCAGGGAGGGTGGCCAGGAAAGCCGCTGTCTCCACGGGGTTGTCCCACAGTGCGGAGACGCTGAGAGACGTGGGGAAGGCGGGGCAAACGTGGAGGAGCTGAACGGATTGGAGGGGATCCCCACACTCCGGGCAGGCAGAGCTAGGGGAGCGTCCGATCATGGCGGAATTGGACGCCAGGGAGCTGCAGTATCCCGAGCGGAGCTGGGATAACGCTGAGCGGTAGGGGCGAGGGAGTGATGTCTCCACTGAAGCAATCGGCGGTGGCGGGGCAGCAAGGACAGCGTTTATGGCGGCAGTCGCCGCCACGCGGGAGGTAATCTCCCTGCGAAGAGACCGCTTGGCTTCTCCGTATGTCCCGGCAGGCAGGATACCATTTGTCAAGAGTGGTGTGACAAGATGGCCGAACCTCGACTGTATCGAGGCTTTCATAGGGCGGTCACCGAGAGGGGCAGAAACCATGCGAAAGGAAGCATGGGAGGGCTGGAGGGCGCTGGCGAGGTACTGGGTGCAAGCCAGGTCCAGGTGCGCGGGCAAAGGGAGGACGCCGGTCTCCTGGTGCAGATGGGAGATCGGGGCCATTTTGAGGCAGCCGGTGGCTAGTCTCAATGCAGTATTCTATATAATCTGCAGGCTGGCAACTGCTGAACGGGAGGACACAGGGTACCAGATGGGGGCTGTGTAGTTGAGAATTGGGCGCGTGATGGTACGGTAGGTGGCAACTATGTCCTCCTTGGAGAAGCCCCAGTTGATGCCAGCAAGGGCTTTTAAGATGCGGAGAGAACCCGTCGCTTTCGTGGCTATGGCTCTTGCATGAGGGGAGAAAGTGAAGTGTGCATCCCAGGTGATGCCTACGATTTTGGGGGTTTTGTCCAGTGGGATGATGCCGTTGCAGATGGTGGCAGATGGGTGGTATCGGGATTGGTGCGTATCTGGGGTGAAGAGCGTGATCGAGAACTTGCCAGGAGCCACGGCCAGTTTCTTGACTGTCGACCAGTCTGAGACGTTACGAAGGAGCAAGGCGAGCTCGGCCTCCGCAGCGTCGAGCCTCGGGGACGACACGAAGATGGTAAGGTCGTCCGCGAATGAGGCAATATTGGGGGTAGGCACTGGGATGTCGGAGATGAAGTGGTTAAAGAGGGCCGGCGAGATCACCGAGCCCTGGGGAACGCCTGAGTGGATGGCTCTGAAAGGCGATTGGGTCCTGAGATAGAGGCAAGATGCCTGCCTGCCTCGGAGGTAGCAGCACAGCCAGCGGACCAGGTTGTGATGTAGGTCCGAGGCCGCAATCATGCTTAGGAGGAGGGGGTGGTCGACACTGTCGAAAGCCTTCGAGAGGTCGACCGCCGCGGCGACTGTGCGGGCTGGAGGGCGCCGTGAGTTAAAGCCCGTCGTGATCTGGTGCGCGAGCGGGAGGAGGGCGGTGACAGTGGAGTGTCCCGGCTTGAAACCATGTTGCTAGGGGACGGTAGTGAGAGAACCCGAGATGTAAGGGAGCACAAGACGCTCTAGGATCTTGGCTGCAGGGCAGAGGAGGAAGATAGGGCGGTATGAAGAGCCCTGGTTACCGGGTTTTCCCGGTTTGAGGATTAGAATAATTATTGAATTTTTCCAAATGGATGGGATAGAGGCTGTGGCGACGGAGATGTTAAAAATGCGGGCATGGAACTGGATACCGCGTGGTCCGAGGTGCTTAAAATGAAGGACCGTGAGCCCGTCCGGGCCTCGAGCGGAGGAGTTTTGGGCAGCAGCGATGGCGAGCTTCACCATGTCGGGTGTGAACGGGGAGAAGTCCCTTTCAAGGGGATGTTCAGCCCGGATTCGACGCATGAGGCGGCGGGTGGAGGGGCTTTGGGAGTGGGGGCAATCGAAGTAAATAATTTGCAGAAGGCGGAGGAAATCTTGCGCTAAGATGAGAGGGTATTCAGACCAAATTGGATTGGCTGATTGGGGGGAGGGCGGTTACGCTTTCCAGCTAGGGAGCGTAGGAGATTCCAGTGCTTGGACTGGTTTGTGCGCCTGCAGCACGACGCAAGATGTGTTCGCCATGTGTTTCTTGCGTGGGTCTGAATGGAAACACTAATTTCCAGGTTGAGATCTGGGAGCCGGGGGTCTGTTGGATTACGTGCCCTGATGTCATCCCGTTGCTCAATGAGCAACCGGGTGCCAGGGTTGACCGAGGGGGAGAAATCCTCACGGAAACCGGCAGGGATATGCTGTCTGGCAGCAGTAATCAAGCAAGATTTCCCTCAAGGTCGACTCACCGCCACACGCGGTGGGGGGAGGGACCATCTGGAGAGCCGCTTCGATGGCTGCCGTGTAGGCGGGCCAGTCAGCTTTTTTGAAGTTGACGTATGAGCGGGCAGCCCGGGGGGTCGCAGAGTCGACGGAGGAAGGGAGATGAATCCGGATGGGCAGGTGGTCCGAATTGAGGGCGACTTGAGGAGTCCAGGAGGTGTCGAGTAGAAGATGATCGCTGATGATTGCGAGGTCCGTATAGTAGGGTGGGCCGTGTGAGGGGCGGCGGGTATGGGAATCCTCGTTGAGGAAAGCAAGGGAGGAACTGGCGACGAGGTCGTCGACTGCGGCTCCACGCGCTGCGGCTCTCTGGTCGTCCGTGTGGGAGAACCAGGAAGGATGATGGGCGTTAAAATCGCCAACTATCAGACAGTCGCCCTGTATGGAGACTATGTCCGACAGTTCCGGGGAATATCCCGAGGGGCAGGAGGAGGTCGGTGGGATATAAACATTAATGATGCAGAGAGGGGAACCATTAACAGGAGTGGAGATTGCCATAGCCTCCATGGTGGTGTCGCCATGTAGGAGAGGAGAGATGTCTTGCTCGGTGTACGGGACATCGTGGCGAATCAGAATGAGGAGACCGCCACCGTGACCACAGGGGCGGTCCCTGCGCTCCAGCGCGTATCCGGGAAAGAGGGGGGGCGGGATGCAGCTGATAGCTTGGTCTCTTGGAGGCAAGCGACCGCCACGTCGTTCTTGGCGAGGTAAGTAGCCAGTTCAACTGCACTGGATTGAATCCCGTTGCAGTTGAACTGAAGGACGCAGAGGTGGGAGGGGGCCAGCATGTGGGGGGTCGTTAGCGCAGGCCGGAGCATCGCTTATGGGTCCAGGCACTGCACACGGTGCACCAGAACTAATGTCCTCGCCACGTGATTGGGAGGGAGCAGACCGAGCAGGGGGGGTGCGGGCCAGGGTTGGGGTGTATACCCTGGGTCAGGAGAAGAAGAACGAGCAGGAAGGAGAGATGGGAGGAGAGCAGGGCACAAGGAGCCCCAAGGAAGATAGGCGGCCAAAGATGTGGGTAGGGGGAAGGGGAGGCCGAGGTTCCTCTACCCTTAGCAGAAAAAGTGAAGGAGCCTCCGTCCGGTAGCGATTCGGGCGGGGGGCCTCTGCCGTTTGGCCTGGCCCACGTGAATGCCGGGTAACCGGCCGACGCGTAGTCCAGGGTACCCCCACGACGTAGACGCGGCAGAGATCGGGGGGTTAATAGTGAGGCTCGTGGTACCTGTCGTGCACTGCATTAGCAGAAACAGTTAAATATAAAATCGTTACCATACAGTTCTTCGGCAGACAATAGATAGTTGGATGCCGAAGATAAAATAAATGGATTCTGTAACACCATCTGGCACGCCCGATTCGTCACGGCTCGCGAGGACGTTACTGCTGAGAGCCCCAGCTGATTTGTAATAGCCTAGCAGTGCCCCCGTGGAATTTCTGATGACTAACAAGGAACAGTACTAATTTTTTAACGTCAAAGTTGGTAACGATAATGGCAGCAAAATAATATAATCATTCAATGAATGCATCATAGTATGCAGAAGAAAAACCATCAAGCCTTTTAAGGTAGATTATATTTGATCAAATATCGAGATCGTCGTCGGGATCCTCATCGTCCCAGTCCTCGGAGTCAGGAGTATAATGCACCATCCCTTCCATACCGGACAGTACAACTCTGGAATAAGTACAGAAAATTGAATAATTTTCTCGTTCATATCACGCTCGAAATGATTCAACTTAGAAAAATAAAAAAATAATTATATACAAGTAAATGTCTGATGGTAGTTTCATGTTGTCTTTCAGGCTGACAATTATATTACTGAAATTATTATTGATGGTGTACATATAGCTTCAATCATTTCAACTCATGTTAGATCCACAGGACAAACGTAAAATTCCCTACTGGAGATCCTTTTTAAACGATCATATTGGAATGATTAAGACTATTGTTCACATTACACTACAGAATACTTGCCTTTGATGAGGTAGCACCAAATTATTCTTCACTGTTCTTTCGTGATCAGAGAGTTTTAAGTTGAAAGTCGTCTGAGAAGCCAGAACGTTTATGGCTGAATCGTCTTTGCTCTGAACTTCCGTTGAGTGCGTTGCAGCTTTCTGCTGTATGGTTTTATTAGCAGGGATATGCGGGAAACTTTTTACATTAGATTCACGATGAGAAGAAACTTGACTGCTGTCTCCGTGGGGAGTTTTGAAGCGGTCACCAACGCTGATGCCAGCCAATTTGGTTGGAGTCTCTAATGTGTTTATAAAAGAATAGTCATCATTCAGTCTTGGAGGTGCAATTGCCGTTAATATCACAGAAGTCTTCGAGTTGATACAGTAATATTCGCGCTGAAAAAATCATGAAATATTATTAAGGAATGTCACAGAAACATTTCTTCCTATTCAGTGAAAGAGCATGACTGGCAAGTGTACAACTGAGTTACATGACATTCATTAAATAACACCAGGCCTCGGAACATTCAAGAAGAAATGTCTTAAATAATCTGACAATCTTACCGTTTTTATGATTTTCCCAGTTGATCGACGAATTAAAACGTCAGCAATGCCTTGCCATTGAGGAGTCTGAACCGCCTCAGCAGGGCTGAGATCAACAATTGCAGATGCAGAATGTCTCAAATTCTTCATTGCGTTTGCAGAGATGAGAGAGGAACTGCATGCCAGCACCACGATGCTACCGGCTACAGCGAATTGAGTTTTATGAATGACATTCCCTTAACATTATTTCAAAGTTTAAATTTTAAAAAAGGCGCCATCGTAACATTAGTTACAAATCTAATTTGGGGAATGGCACTAACATAACAATAGCTAAAAGCTTTCATCCTGACACACACATTTAAATTTAATTTTACATCTATTAAGTTTTAGTCAGACACAGAGATTAGAGCTTATTTTTTCACTTTAAACATACAACCCAAAAATCACTATAATTAATCATAAAATGTCAGGAAAATGGTTAATGATTTTTTTAGTTCTAAATAGAATCATTTCACAAAAAACTTGCCTCATACAGAGCCGATTTCAAGGTTATATTAAAATTAATTTAATTCAACAGATAACAGTGATTATCCCACTATCATCACTAAAAGATATATGTTTCAAAGCCTTTAAGATCAAGATATGCCTCCCCTTTGCAAGTAAATCTATATTGAGTTAATTATATGCTGAAAGGAAGAAAGCTATTAACAGTAGAAAGCTCATTGCAAATCAATTCACTACTATATATTGCCTAAAACTCTGGTGCCAACTAAAGAACCCTTGAGGGAAAGCACTTTCTGTTGCTGTAAAGTAATACATTTTTTAATTAAATGTTTGGTAACAAGCATCCTCATGTAAGAAGCCAAGCAATGTGAAATTGAACAATGAACATTTTTCTTGAGAACAATGGGTCACCCTAGAAGTCAGAGATATCAAGCTAAAAAAAGCAGAATAATTAGTAATTATGAAAATTATTTTGAAATAATATATTTCCATTTATAAAAGATAACAAACCTGCTGCAATTTCTTTGCACAAAGAGAGAAGATGACGAACAGTTGTGTGAAGCAAGACATCTTCAGCCCTGTCAATCATGAGAACTGTCTTTTTGTTATCATCTTCATGGGTTTTCACTTTAGAATCTATGCAATTTTTCAAATTTTCAAGGCCAAGAGGTGCAGCAGTAGAAAGCAGTGGAGTCTTGGCAGCAAGGTGAGTTAAACGAGGTATCGAGGGAGCTGACTTTATCTGACAGCTTGACCTGAAGAATGTAATGAATTTATCCAAAGCAGTTTCATCCTCCCCATATGCATTGAAGGATTGGGTGTAGAGACAAACTTGGTCAGAAACTGCAAAGAAATATAAAATCAATTTGGCCTTAAACTAGCTTCATCAGACACATGTACAAGAATATTAGATTGATTCAAATACCTAGCCAGCCATTTTATCATTTTTTACATGTCAGTTACATAAAAAAATATCACACATATTTTCCTCCATAACTATTAGCCTCATTGAATCCACTCATATTCTAAAAAATAAAATATTTATTGCAAATAGAATAGAATGAAATTATTGCAAATATAATTAAACAATTTACCATGAAATTACTTACATGAAAATTTATGTGTAAAAGGATTTGCTTGAACAAAATGAACTGAAAAGTTGGTTTGAGCCAAGAATTTGTCCAGTAAAATTTGCATAACATTTTCAGCAGAAACAGCATTTGGTGCATCTGAAATAAATAATTAAATGAATGCAAGATCCAAACTAAGAATAGAAATACATAAAAAGCCTATAAATGGACAATACATTTTGAATATCATTTAGGTTTGTTCAAGGGCAAACATATTATTGAGAGTAATATCGGTACCATATCATGTGACTACCAATACAACAAAAATCAGGAATAAAGGTTGTATGACAAAATAAGATCAAGACAAAGTGGAATTCTATGTTCTATGAGAGTGCATAAATTACATTATAATTAAATCATACTGACCAGTAAGAATCAATAAAGAAGGAAATGGCATTTCCTTCAGGGTCAAAAGATTTTTGAAAGTGGATGAAGCCATGGTTCTAGCTGAAATGTACAACTGATAGATTGTAAATTTTCTCTGTCAATAGAAGATAGTGATTTGGTTAATAATGTGGTATTTCAATATTACCTATTGATTCATACAAAAACTAATTTTCAGTCATGATGGTGATGGAAAAAAAGGTCACACTTCTTCTTTTAGATGCTTTTTGGTAGTCTTGAAAACATGAATATATACCGCCTAATGACAGGATGGTCCATCACGGTTTTCACCTGACAGTTGATAACTTAATACTTGAATGTTCAAGTAACTGGTTGCTTGCAATGCTTGGCATAAACTGTACAGGATATGTGGTCCTTGGCCACATTCTCCCCTGAAGATGGTGGTGATGGTGTTTTCAGTTGAATTTTATTATTTCATCTACTGCTGCATCCCATAGAACATTCATTAGCCATTTCAGCATTTTCAGCCATCAAGGAATACCTCCTGTCTAAAAATTCTCTGATCAGTTTCCAAAGCTTCTGCATGTGCAGTAAGCCAATCTTGCTGTTCTCTTTACAACATTTTAATAATTTAATGATCTTCCACAGAGCCTTCTGTATGCTCTACAGGGTACGGCCTCAAGATTGCCTTTTAAAGGTTTCCCAGTAGTGCTGTTGTTGTTTGGGTGGGAGACTGGGAGTGTAGGAAGTGGGATTGCCACATCAGCCTAGTGAGCCTACTGACAGTACTGAGCCTAGGCAACTATACTATTAAGATCATCTTCATCATTTTACAGTTGCACTTTAATTGATGCATTCTTAACTCAGTTAACTGTACTAGTATAAACTTTGGTGTCATTGGCACACAGAACAGCTAAGAGCACTCAGCCAGACAGCACTGAGCTGTCTGCTGTCTGAGCACACACAGTCTGATCACTCTGATGCAGACACGCTTGACAGTTGACACTGCTTCTAGTTCTGGCAGATCGTTTACAAAAGCAGTGAATAAAACAGGCCCATGGATGCTTCCTTGTTTCACACCCCTGCTTACTGGTACTGCTGGCCACTGCCCGGTCAGATACTGTTCCACTAATTCTGACACATTGTCATGTCATCTACCTACTAGAAAGTCTCTGATCCATATTCCATTGGAGAACAATTCCCTAGGCTGACTAGCTGAGTAGGCTCTACTCCCAGACTTCACTTTACGCTCTTGGGGAACAGTGGCCAGAACACTGACAAATGTTTTGGCAAAATCAAGCCTCAAGGTACACTACTGAGACTAGGTACATTCACTGGCTCCCTTTCGAGTTTCGTCCACGTCCAGCAGGCAGCAGGTGCAGGCGAGTCCAATAATTCATCGTAGACAAGAGGTTATTGGTGGCTTTGGTGCAGGATCTGCCGGCAATAAAGCCATGTTTTTTTATAATTGATTTGTAGGCTTTGGGTATGCCGGTAGCACACCTCCCAGCCTGAGCACAAATGGGGTTTTGGATACTTCACTTCACTTTTAGATCTCTTTACTTTCTAGCACCTCCACCAGCCAGTGTGGCAGTAAATTGTGAAAAGAAAAGGTACAATTAGGCTTGGTAGAATATTCACAGCCTGGTCACCATATTGCAGTTAAGCAAATATTGACCAAGATGTTGGATGGCAGCAGTGCGTCTCCTCATTGGGGCATCCCCACCGCCGAGAGCTGAGGAGAGATCCCAGGGTAGAGAAAGGCCCTCCAGTCTAGTATGGAAATCTCTTCGCTGGTTGATGAATTGTGTGCAGTGCAGGAAGAGGTGCCTGATTGTGCCCTCCACATTGCATACTGGGCAGTTACTTGAGTCAGCTAAATTGAATCTGGCCAGATGAGCATTGACGCCAGCATGCCCAAGGCGTAGACGTGACACAGCGCATTCAACTGAGCGTGGCAGCGATCCATAGTCCACATAAGATATCTCAGGTCCCAAACTTCTTTGGAAGGTCCCTTTTCCTGTTTCTTGTCGTCGTCTGACCATTTGCGAGCCCATTCTTGATTGGTGAGTGACTTCACAGTGAGGATCCATTCCTCAAAGCACAGTTGAGATCTTGCTGTGCGGTCATTAGAGTGTGCAAGGTTTGCTGCCCTGTCTGCCACTTCATTTCCATGGATACCACTGTGACCCCTGATCCAGCAAATAACCACTCTGTCTAGTCCCTTGACCAGCATCAACTCATGTATCTTGAAGACAACTGTGCGGTGAGACAGCCCCAACGAACAAGACAAAAGCTGCAAAGCAGACCTTGAATGACAGAATCAAAACCGGCTCCTCCTTCATAGATACGTCTTCAGTGGCAAGCTGCATGGCCTTGTGTATGGCAAACAGCTCAGCACCAAGCACAGTGTGCTCTCATCGAAGCAGCCACCCTGTTGCCAACTGGGTTGAAGGCACAAAAATTCCAGCAGAAACTGACCCATCACCAGTTCTTGAACCGTCCGTATAGATTTGGAGATGCTTAGGATAGTGTTGCAGCCAGAAATCATAGAAGCAATTCTGAATTAATTCATGTGGCATATTAATTAAGGAACTGTTTTGTGAGTTGATCAGTATACTTGAAGTAATGTCCACTTGAGGAGGAATTGGGTTTATCAAAGGAGTTGCAGCACGCTGAGGAAGTGTAAGGCCCAGGTTTTGGAAGTTTGCACGTGCTCTGGCAGTGTAAGGTGTGTTGCCATAAACTCCCCGATCTGAGAACCCTAGCATGGTTGGCACATGATCATCTGCAGGCATGTACAAAAATCTGATAGCCCACTTGGTAGACAAATATCTGAATCGGAGCTGAAGGGGTGCAATGAAACTTTCAACTTGCAGAGACATTATGGGTGTGGTCCAGCGTGCTCCCTGGATGTATCGGAGAGCAGAATTTTGCACGGTTTCTAGCTGGTTCAGAAAGGACTTTGGAATGTCCCATAAGATTGTGGAGCCATACTCCATCTTACTTCTTATGAAGGCTACATATATTCTGCGCAACAGGTGTCGGGATGCACCCCATTTCACTGAGCCAAGCGCCCGAAGCACCTGCAACCGCTTCAGGCAGGCAATTCAAGTTATCCAAACATGTTCCCTAGACGTGAGGTGTGGGGAATCAAAATGAAATCCTAGCACTTTCTGGCAAGCCACATAGTACTTAATATTTCTGTTACAAACTTAAGTGTAGTACTAGCAGGGACAGTCCGATGAGAGGTGAATATCTGATATGAGCACTTCACTGGGTTAAGATGCAACTGCCAGCGAGTGCACCACATGCTGATTTCATCAAGATACTGCTGCATATGACACCTAGCCTCAGCCAAGGTCTGGCAATGAAGAAATAGTGTTATATCATCTGCATACCCTACCTTTGTCACATGTGGAGAGTGTGGAAGGTCATACAGCATCACATTAAACAGCGTTGGGGAGAGTACAGCTCCTTGAGGAACACCAGCTCTCATGGGTTGAGACGAGGATTTAGTAACACCAACCCAAACACAAACAGTCCTATTCTGAAGATAATTGTACAACCAGGCCAGCATCTGGTTGTCCACTCCAATGCAGTGCAATTTATACAGCAGTCCATCATGCCAGACGCTGTCAAAAGCTCCCTCAATGTCCAAGTATACCACTAAGCAATATTCACGACCAGTTCAAGCAGAGGTTATGGCATTCTTTAGCAAATGCAAAGCATCAATTGTACTTTTGCCCTTGCGGAAACCAAGTGCAGAGATGGAATAACCTTTTTACTCTCTAGAGTATATTCCAGCCGGCGTAAAACCATGCGTTCCAGGAGTTTGCCCATGCAGGGTAGGAGTGTGATAGGGTGGTATCCTGCCAACTGTTCTGGAGGCTTCCCTGGTTTTGGTATAGGGATAATAATTCCTTGCTTCCATGCATCTGGAACAAGCCCAGAAATCCAGCTGGTGTTTAGAAATGCAAATAGCTCTTGCTTGCACCGCAATGGAGCCTTTGAGAGGAAAATATTCATAATTGAGTCATGACCAGGAGCTGTATTTTTGAGAGCCTTGAGTGCCTGAGAAAACTCCCCTATTGTAAATGGAACACAGCTGTACTGTTTGAGGTTGGTTATGGCTTTCACGACTTCTGAAACAGCATCCACACTTGCTTGATGACCTGTCATAGAAGCAACTGGAGCAAAATGACCAGCAAAAAGATAGCTTTGGTGTAGTCGTCGTCATGGGCAGCACCTTGCAATGGATAAGAGAAACTGCTAATAGGCCTACCCTGAATGCTGTGTATTTTCCTCCAGACTTCTCGAGTGGTTGTCGATGAGGAGAGGGTGTTTATATACTCCGTCCAGCTATTACGCTGCTTTTTAATTTTGAGGTTTCTAGCCACAGCCTCACAGCGCTTGTATTCGATGAGATTTGCTGGAGTAGGGGAGCGCCACAGTTTGCCTTTAGCTCTACGTCTAAGCGCAACAGCCTTGGAAAACTCACCATCCCACCAAAGTGTGGAGAATAGACAGTGTCTTTTTCCTGAGCTACGGGGCACTGCATGAGAGGCAGCTTGCAAAATGGAATTTGACAGAGAAGCATAGGCACTGTCAGCATCTCTAGGTCCATACTCTGAGACAACCAGTGCCTTGTCAAGAAGTTGCTGATATTGTGACCAATTTGCAGTTGGCAACCTGGGCTGGTTGGTCACAGTCCGTTGTCCGCAAGTTACAGTTCGAGCTAAAGTCAGGGTATGAAGTGATGATTTGATGCAACGTTCAGTGGTGCGTAACAATTACTCTCTGGGCTATTCGCTTCAGAATATGGTGGCGTAAAGCTCCTAATATTTAAAGCAAGATGATGTCACGGGCTGGTTACCGACGGTTGGCTTAATCCGCGGCTGATTGGTGGTCATCCGTAAATATGCTAGGCGTTCCTTTCAAGGCTGATTGGTGCACAAATTTGGTGGTGCACGGCTGCGTACCCTCTGATATTTTTTTTTTAATTGAATTACTAGGCTTCGTGTATGTAGAAAACACACCTCCCAGCCTGAGCACCAATTGAATTTTGATTTGAGTCACTTCACTCCAGACTTATTTTCTATTCTTGCCTCTTTGCGTTTGAATGCATCACTTCCACATGTTTCACCAGAGCAATGTGGCAGTACATTGT